GCCCTCCGATCCCCCCACCCCGGAGGCGCCGGGCCCCTTGGATGCCGCCGAGATGGGCAAGGTGCTGTCCAAGATCTTCGGCAACAAGGAGATGCGGATCCTGATGCTGGGTCTGGACGCGGCTGGTAAAACCACCATCCTGTACAAACTGAAGCTGGGCCAGTCCGTCACCACCATCCCCACCGTGGGCTTCAACGTGGAGACGGTTACTTACAAAAACGTCAAGTTCAACGTGTGGGATGTCGGGGGCCAGGACAAGATCCGTCCCCTCTGGAGGCACTACTACACGGGCACTCAAGGGTTGATCTTTGTGGTGGACTGCGCCGATCGCGACCGCATCGACGAGGCCCGCCAGGAGCTCCACCGCATTATCAACGACAGGGAGATGCGGGACGCCATCATCCTCATCTTCGCCAACAAGCAGGACCTGCCTGATGCCATGAAACCCCATGAAATCCAGGAGAAACTGGGCCTGACCCGAATCAGGGATAGGAATTGGTACGTGCAGCCCTCCTGTGCTACTACAGGGGATGGACTCTATGAAGGGCTGACATGGTTAACATCCAATTATAAATCCTAATGAGAGAATAACTATTTAGTCTACAAAGAATTAAAGAAAAAAAATAACCCACATGGCTTTCCGGAAGAATGATTCTCTACTGAAAAGTAAAACAAAAGCATCCATAGGATTATGATCACCTTTCTCCAGTTACCACCCTTTTCTTCTGCACACTTGACTGGATTCCTGTTTTAACTCTTCTTGCTTGGCGTTAGGATGCTCTAATCTCCGAATGTGACACGAACACAAGCACTAGATGCTATGGCAGACTTCCAGCAAACAGGGGAAAGACACATTGTAGACTTGCTAAGTAACTTTTTTTTTTTTCCTCTTGATAGCCCTTAAGATGGTTTGATTATTTGGGGGGATGGTTGGGGGAGGGGTACCATTTTCAGTGTATGCTTTCTGGTTCTACTTTTTTGATTATATTTTTTTTTCCTTCTATCACTTGCTGTAGATTGCTACTTTTTTGCATTCACGCAGAATATGTTGATAGGTCTACTTCATCTAGTAAACTGAAAATTATTGCTTAAAATCAAACTGCAGTCTGTCTTTTTATATTAAGGACTTTTTTTAAAGTTCTGTTAATCTGTAACTAAATAGTGACTCTCAGCCTGTCTTCATATCTCAGACTAATAATGAAACGAATTCTTGCCTACAGTGGCAGATAGCGAGAATACCATTGTAACATGTTCAAAGTGCATATCAGGCGTAATGTTAACTAGGTAATGTAAGAACTGCTTTGAAATGTCAGCTGTGAAGTTCTGAACCATACATCATGCATGAGAAGGGATGCAAATAAGTTCCCCATACTACATAGCAACCATATAGCAAATAAGACATGAATGATGTTAATAGTTCCAGGGTAGATACTGTTCGGTTTTCGTCTTGCATTGCAAACTTAAATGATGTTTAGCTGCAGTTTTTACTACTCGTGTCAGTCTCCAATTCAATGCAAGATAGGTTCCTTCCAGAAAATGCAGCGATAACATGTGAGCATTGCAACAAGTTTTACTTTAAATCACAGATGTTTAGGCAAAAATCCAGCACTGACTTGCCTGTCGTGCGATCGAGACAAATTGCTTTCATCTCAAGACAGCTGAAGACATCTAAATCTTAAAACGATTCCTTATTCTTTCTGACATGCATGTAGTGGAGGAAGAAATTACTGGGTTTTTTTTTCTTTTTCATTTTGTAGACTTCCAAAGGGGCAAGTTCTGTGCTAAGCTTTAATTGAGCTCGGTAATTCTGACATCTCAATAATAGCCATTTTGAGGAAATCACTTATTTGTTTAATTTTTCCAAGACTTGACTGAACTTATGCAAGTGGTTGCAGTCTTCGCCATCTGTCTCGGTAGCCGGTTGTTGCTGTAGTCCTGTAGGAAGGGAACTATGTTGGATGTCTGAAGCCCGTTGAGTAACTACTAATGAGAGTGGGGAGGAGAGAGAGAGAGAGAGAGAGAAAGAGAGTATACGACTATGAATGTAAACTTCCATAATTAGTTCTTAAAGGGCAAGCAGCTCATTTGCCATATCACAGTTTGCAGATGTGACTGGCAAAAAAGACCCCAAACACCCCACCCAGAACAAGTATTAGTATCAAAACTCAATCAAGTATTACTGCTGGGTGCAAGAAATATTAAAGCAGCTGGTTCTTATTCAGCCTTAAAGATAAACTTCAGATTTCCTCAAGGGGTTAAACTCGATTGGGGAATTCTAGGAATGTATACTACAAAACCAGAAGAAAATGGCTTTTTTTTTCTTCT